AGAAAGAGTTAGGGTAGTGTCCTTGGAAACAGGAGTGGACACACACACACATATATAAATATATATGCACTTGAAACGCACATCCTTTGCATTGCCGCCCTTGAGACCAGCCTTGACTGATCAAGAGGCTTCAAGGATTGAATGACAGCCTTCCACAAACACTGTGGCCCTTCCCTTGGATTGAATTGACATGACTATCAGACTGCCACTGCAAGGATGGCGATCCGTTGCTGAGATCGGTACAGAGTTGTAATACTCATATAAGAACTGTATCGTTACTACAAATAAGTTGTACTGTACTATCTATAATATTGTATAATGTATTGGGTCTCCTCAACGAAAGTGGAAATTCCTCTCTCGACATGCAAGAATTACATCAAAACAATATCAAAACGTTGTTTGGATCCACATGACTTTGACTTGCAGCTCTGTTCACGTGACTTGCATCGGATACAGTTCCTGGCACCCCATGTTGCCCTGACTCCAAGTGGCATAAGAGGGGTCATAGTAGCCGTAGCCCGCCCTGGGCGACGGTCCGAATGGGATGTCAGGGACCCTGCAAACCGACCGAGACGAGGGAGGCTCCCAGTCCCATGACTGGTTAGGGTTCATCAGAAAGGCTTCCTACACTCCAGCACTGGCATTGAGATGACCCCAATCATCTGGGAGTGCGACTTGCCCTTCCCTGTCAAGGACACCGCTTTGACAGACCATGGAGAATCCATGGAGTATGTCTTCAAGGGCCTCGAGCAGCTGATCAACGGCCTCGAGCAGCTGATACTGTTATAGGTCCTTGTAGGGACTGATACTGTTATAGGTCCTTGTAGGGACGTTAGCGACTTGGAGGTCCATGGAGGTTTACCAGTGACTCCCATGATTGGTGGCTCAGCTTTTGCATCAATATACTCGTATTTGGTCAGCTCATAATGACCTCCCAAAGAGTAGTGGATGGGTGATGGGTTATGCAAGAAAACGAACAAGCGGAGTGACATGGAATCTAGCGACCAAGCAAGCACAATCTATGCATGCTGAACTACGTTGTTGGTGTTCTGGGCGCCGTACACCTCTCCAACACACCTTGAGTTCCCCGGCTGTGGAACAGCCCTTGGCGAAGCACGGATCCGAAAAGCAAACGACTCTGTGGCCCAGCACAGTCTGAACTTACTTAGGCTGCAAAAAGCATCAATGTCTTACGCCATCACAAATACCACGACAGAATGACATAACTATACATATGTAGAGATTGATAGAATGTGCATAAATCTAAGACCCTGATTGCAGGAGCTTCAACACCTGTTCACAAAACCACACTCCTCATTCCTGATTTTTGAAGAAATCACATCTTCTGAACTTCCACTCCCAGGATTCGATACCGCTTCCAAGCTACATCGAAGGATAAGCTGCCATAGCGAGGCAAAATGCAAGGCCTCAAAAAGGACACTCAACGGACATCCGCGGTTGCTGGGGCCATCTGGGCCCCCTCGAGTGACCAACGGGGCTGTTGCGAGTAGCAAACCAGAACACCATGCAGCATGTGAGAAAGACTCCACCAAAGTCTCTGTCTCACTGGCACCATGTCAAAAACCACACGTTTTGGCCACCATCTCCTGTCAAGACAGCGCTGATCGCCCACCGGCGGTCGAGCGACACGCAACAAAAACGCGCACCGTGAAGTTTCACGCTCCAGCCGCCTGATTTTGTAGATCGTACCGGGTGGAATAGTTCGACCCGAAATGACTGAAGGGACGGTGCATCTCACCATGGGACGGGCTCCTGTGGTCACCCAGACATTGGCTTTTGGCCACCTTAGCCGACCTGTCGGCACCAAAAGGATGTCCTGTGATCTTTGCACCTGACATCAGGATGTGACAAGATGCAAACTCAATGCTTCAGCCCTGTTCTGATAGTTTGGAGCCACACTTGATTTTGAATGATATTGAGGGTTTGGGTCAACACCCCATCACCCGTGAACACCAATAGAGTCCAGCTGTTGTAAATCATGTTTGACACCACCACCACCGGACTTGGATTAAAAGGTTTTGACCTTAGATTATGTATAATGTGGAATCTTCCGTTCAACAGCCTAAAACCAATCCCTATGTGTAAGGGCAAACCTAAAATAGGGAGACCTCCAAGACCCCCTGGAAGAAGGAACATAGGCCAAAATCCATTGGGCCAGGGGGTCTTCCTATTCAAACACCCACCCATTTGTTCAGAGTATACCTTGGACATCCTTGGACCTTGGAGATGCTATCACTTCAGGAGCACCTTTCGCCCCAAAGTCTCTTCATTCAGATCACCATCTCTGAACAAAAACTAGCCCCCATGCCCATCCACCCTGAAAAGGCTGACCTCGGATCCTCTTATCAATTTCACCACATGCACCCCCTTTTTTGCAGCGCTTCTTCACTTCGCAGCTCCGTCATGCGCAGCTGACTCTCGCCCAGCTGACTTCCTCATGCGCAGCTGAGTCATCAGCCCCCACTCTGCGGCTCCTGTGGCTCCTGCGGCTCCTCCTCCTCCGCGGGACCCGGTAAGGGGCCCTCTGCAGGGTGTGCGGCGGTGAGCTGCTCGGGAGCGACCTGGGCACAGGCGGGTGGGATGTGGCGAGGGAAAAAGACTCCATTAGTCGACTATGCCCTAGGGCTCCAACCACCGCCTGAGATGGTTGGGGGATTCATGATCCTTTCTTACAAAAGCTTAATTAAGATTCATGGCTTCTCAAGGATTCAGGCTTGGGCACTGGCTTGCAAGGAAGTTCAGGTCACTGAAGCTACCTTTCGTATTTCATGACATCGATGTATATGATTGTACATGTATGTCTGTATATGATATACCTGGTCCTTTTGAAGTGTCATGCCTTCATGATCCTTTATGGATCTGATCTACAACCAAGATGGTAGAGAACATTAGAAGCATTGAACAGGAGACTCTTCGGAATTGGTGTTTAGAGGTTGGGGATGAATGGAGTTGGTGAAACACATCACAGCAAGGGTATGCAAGGGTAAGATTGGGTCCAAATTGATTCGGAGTTGATTTTTTGATAGACGGGATCCTATTCTCTCTCATGCATGTGCTGCAATCATAGAGTCTATATTTGGTGGGTGGGGGCCCCGGTGGGGGGATCTCTTGTCCTACTATGAAAGCAGCTTGTTTAGGAAGCTTGATTGAAAAGCATGTCATTGGTGTCCTGCTACTCCTCATCCTCTGCATAAATGTGACGTCCTTGAGGGGCTGCGATGATGAATCAATACAAGTACAGTTTCCTGGGCTCTGCCTGCAGTAAAAACCAAAAGCAGCTTTGTGAAAGCTGCAACATCCTGCAAAAAAACAAACTGCATATATACAGCAATTGTTGCCAAACCTGATGCCTAATTTCTTGGATCTTCTGACAATATCTCTCAACTTTCCATCTGTGATCTGGGCTTCCAGCTGGGGCTGCCTCAGCTGGGTGTGCAATTGGCAGGTGCATCTGAGGCTGGCTCGGCTGTGGCGCCTGAACCTGCGGCTGCGGTGCCACCTGTGGCGCCGCCGGGCGTGCTTCCGACTCCGCCGGATGCGCGATCGCTGGCGGCAGCGTCTCTGCCGGGTGTGCCGGAGTCGCCGCGGCGAGCGGCGCGGTGGGGGGATCCTCATTGATGTCTCGTGTCATGCTCACCCACGCGGCAGGCGCACCGGGAGGCGGCTGGGTGCGGGCCCAGGGTCGGGCAGCTTCAGGGTTCGAGGCAGAAGCGGCGGTAGAAGCCGCAGCTGGTGTGACAGGGTTCACTGTGGCAGCACTTGCCGTGGCAGGTGTGGCAGGAGAACTGCTGGCAGCAGCACGGTTTGACCAGGTTTGGTCAATGTTCCTTTGTGCTTCTTGGACCAAGTCCAGGGTGCGTTGAGCTCCATCGGTATTGATCCCGTTCTCATTCCCATAGACAAAGTTTGGATGTTGATACTGAAAGCCCGCCAGCTTAAGAAGCTCACCAGCTGCGCTGTTGTTTCGAAAAATCTCGCTAAACCTGGGATATGTGCCAAGCTTGGTCCTCCTAGACAAACAATAAGAACTGAGAACCATGTGAATATCTGTGATTTCATATTACATGTGACTAGTTTTCGTATATACCCCACAACTTCGGAACAAAACTCGGCTCAAGAAGTCGCGGCGATCGTGCTCCAAGAAACCGAGCTCCAGAAGTGTTCACCTTCCGGTTTCGCTCCGAGTTGGGATCTTTCAGGAAGTTCGTCAAGATCATGGCCACCGTGTTCAAGGACTTGGTGGCCTGGTGGAGTGCCCATGCACATGCTGGTTCTGGGTTGAACCCGGAGCATAGGGTCCGTGGCATAGAACCATAGGGTAAGATTTGGTGGGGGGTCCACCCCTTCGTCAAGTTTTCAACCACAATGAATGTGGCGCTAAAGGCTCCGAATTCGGCGGTGTGCTCCAGCCTTGCAGCTTGAAAGGATGAGCACATCGTCATGCATTATCCTACCAGGTAAACCCATGTAACAGCACCTATCGATACACACTCTTCTTCTTCATAGACTCTCTTCTTGCTTGATCTAGAAATTGCATTGCCAAGGTTACGCACCCACATTCTCCATGTCGCGTTCTTTTCTCGCATGCAGCGCCCCCCACCCTCCAGGCCTCCTGCTTGGTGTTGCATTCGGCCACCAAGCGCTGCAAGCTTCCAGCCGTGGCTTCGAAACTCTCCCTCACCGACAGCGCTGCTGAGCTACCACCCGCAGCTGACGCCGCAGGCGCTGCTGAGGGTGTGGCAGGCACACCCGGCACGGCAGGCACGGCCGACGCGCCTGCTAGGGGAGCAATGGAGCAGTCAGACCCAAGACTTACTTCAAATCGGGGAAGAGAACCTATTTTAATTAATATGTTTGCTAGTTGGTAGTAGTATAGCGCTTGCAATGTTCCTTTGGGTCTTGCGTCCTTTATCTCCAGCCATTGGTTAAATTTTGATAATATACTAGCGGACTGAAACTTAGAATGCCGGCCATTTTTCCAAACAAAACTCGCGAATAACTTAGAATGCCTGTCCCATTTGGGATTTAGAATGCCTGCACATTCCTGTATACAGCCGGCATTCTAAGTTTCAGTCCGGAGTTCAAACTCTGGCACTCAGCTCGCTCCTTTTTCCCTTCTTGTCCCAAGGCCGAGGCCGGTTTCTGCGGTTTTGTTGGCACATGTAAAACAAAGACCTGTTCTGTAACCATAGATTATATATATACACGCTTCTTTTGGACATATCAAATACATTCAAATACACTATATATATACACAAGAGTCTGCTCTTCCTCTTTTCTTAGCCGAACATGAGAATTGAAATCAAGTATAGTGTCAAACCTTACAATTTTTGTTGAACCTGGTGCGGGGCATTCTAACTCTACGAAACACCGCGCCTGTCAGCAAATCTGATAGGTGGGCAAGAAGTGGGGGCAGGCATTCTATCTGCACGATTCACTGTATTTTACAGGGTTTTTGTTAACTTTTGGAGCTTTCACGGGGTTAGGGGAGTCATTTTGTTTCCTTCTCGTTTTTCCAAATGGGCATTCTAAGTTTCAGTCCGCTAGTATAGTTGATATGAGAGGACCTAAATCAGTGGCTATAGTCTACAGAATCTGAGGGGTTGTTGAAGTTAAAGTAATCTCAGCTCTCCTCCACATATTTTGAACATCATCATTACGTGCAAAGTCCAAAAACAGGGCCGGGCATTCTACAGTATAACAAAAGTAGCTCAAAGCCTTGCAAAGGGAAACAGCTGCAGTGCACTGTTTTGTCACAGGAACAACTCTGTTGCGGTGTCGGTATTTGTACACTTGAGAAGGATCGGAAACCATGGCCCATGGCACACAGTTTTGAGATCACTGCCTGGATATTCTGTTTGGGAACACTCTCCAGCATAACTCCTTCGAACGTCCATGAGATCACAGCGTTGAAATTTGATTCAAGACCCAAAGGAACACATGGTATGTCGAGGAGTGTGGGTTTATCATGGTTATTCCAGCAGTGGATGGGTGCGTTGTCAGGCCGTGAAAAAAACCCAAAACATCGCAGAAAGAATCCTTCTACTAATCCTTCTATATAGATCTTCAATGATGACGGATCAGAAGGGACATTTGCACCATGTTGCACCTGCTCTCTGAAAAAGTACACACTAGCCTAGCCGTAGTGAAATAGGGTCGGATTCTACAGGTGTCTTCCCCAGCCATCCTGCAGGCGTAGGCAGTGGCCCGGGCGCGGCACCAGAGCCTCTCCAAAGCCCAACAAGACTGCGAGCATCCATGCTGGGTGGGGCAGCTACTAAAGGAAAGGGTGGTCAATGGTCAATATAGCTCCCAAGCATAACAGGAGACAAAAGGCTGCCTCCATTTATAACAATGATGGACCTTCTTGTGGTTCGACTTCGTTTACATCTTTGTTTGCCTCCAACATCCACCGGTGCCTGCTGGGCTGGCTTTTCCAGCCAGCGCTGTGCCGCTGCCCACGGATGGTAAGGACCTGGGCATCAGGCCTTTGGGAGGATCTAACAAGCTTTGTGGCATGTACACTCCGACTCACTAAAATGGAAGTGGAAAAACCTCTGTTCGTAAAGGAAAGTAGTCTTGCAAGGGACCATGCAATCCCCTTCCATGTAATGTGTTCGTCAGAGTGTAAGGGATCTTTTTTTAAAGGAGAACGCCTAATCCACGCACCACCTAATCCACGAACCCGAGGATAGGCACCTGCCACCGCCCAAACCTGTTGAGGTCTTTTGAGGCGTCTCTAAGTCCTTAGTCCTTCACCCTAATTGATTCATTCTATATATGATTCTCTCCAACATTCAGTGGCCAACCCCAACCAAAAACTCCTCCCCTCCTCATACCGTCTCAAAACCCCAATCCCAGATTCTGCCCTTCTCAACTTCAACTAATCCCTCACGACTTTCCCATCCTTCCACGGCCTTTGTGGCTCCGCGCGGCTTTGTCCCATTCTCCGGACCTTCGCCCGACCTCTGGGACGTCGGATGCACGGCTCTTACAAACAAGACTCAGTAGCTCTGGGATTTGCTGTCCGAAGCCAGGCAAGGAGATGCACCCGGTTCGGGAAAAAAACATGTGCCTCAAACAAAACCAGGTAGTTGAGTGAACCCAAAACAAAACAACAACATCCCTGAAATCGTAGTGAAAACGTGTGAACGCATGCTCGTGTCACTCACAGATGCACATGAAAAGAACAGGCTCTGTGGCATGCTCTTGTTTTTGCGAGGTCATGAATGTCTTGAGGTCAAGAAATTGAACAACAAAAACATGCTGTCGCTATCTGTCACTGTTTAGCGCGCTCCAAGTTCCACTGACTTTGTTTGACTCTCAGGCTTGCAATTAAGAACGATGACTTACCCAGTGCAAGCGACTCTCCTAATCAGGACGTAAAAAGTGGTTGCTGCATGCAACATGTATAATTCTGCAATTCTGTTTCACTGAGAATGCCCAAGTTGAGGGGACTCCTGGTGTGCCACTTGGACTTGGAGGTGCCCAAGTATGACAATACCAGATGCCCGTGCATGGCAATACCACATACCCGGCCCAAGCTGTCGAACTCTCCGAAAGAGTCAAGCTTGTTCCACCGGAAAGGGCCTCCCAACTGTCGAGACCTGCATAGTTGGTCGGTTCCAGGGCGGGCAGCTTTGGCGTCGGCCCGAACCCGTTTCGGCGGCCGTACGTCCACCTCTGCGCGCGGGCCATGTTCAGGCCCCAAGCCACGCATTCTGAATCATGGTGGCTAAAGCTTGAATCGTTGAGGCCTGGGCGACGCCAGAAGATGGGCGAAGCATGGCGAAACAGGTGCGACATAACTTCTCAGATCATGAAGAATTCCGGGTCCGATGTGTTGGTATGAGTTGGGATAGAGTAGGAGGATCTAAGCATCCAACTATCACTAGACCTCGCGTCTATTCATCACTGAATAAGCAAATCAGTTTTGACAAACAGTTCTGACTTGTCCAGAAAACAAGCAAACATATCATATCAGAGATTCAGAACCACACACTAATAGGGATGGAAGGAAATCAGGACAACAGCGCAAACTTTCCAAGTTTGAACACTCAAAGCAAACGACTTCTTAAAATGAGGACAGCAGGTAGCTCTGGTTGGCTTCCTGTGTTCCTCCTAATCCTAACTACTAAGCCTTACAAAGTTGTCACTTTGGACCTCCAGCTCGGCAACACATGATTGGAGAAGCACTAAGCAACTGGTCAGTCACTGGTCAGTGCATAGTTACATATGTTTTGTGTCAAAATAACCGCAGCGCCATGGACAACTCAAACGAGTTCGCTCATCGCTCAGCGCCAGCTGGGCGGAAGCGGCACGTCGTTCTCACACATCAAACCTCGTGGAACCGGAAGCGGCACGCGGAACCTGCCCAGCCAGGATCAGCTGAGAAGGAGGTCGAAGCACATAGCATGAGCAAGACCTAACTGAGATCCTGAGAGCCGTCCAATACTCATTGAGTTTGCCAAAAAACAAAAAGAACACTTGGTGTTTCGATGTGTTTCAGCATCTCAAAGATGGATCTTACGGCCTCACCTTCTTTCACACCATGTCTCGTGGTCTGACAGCGATCAGGTCCGACCTAAGCTCCAGCGTCGTGGGGTCGCATGGACAAGGCCTACAGGGGTCGATGACGGACGGTGGCAAGGCCTACAGATGTTTGCCTACTGGACGACCTTGCAAGGCTTTGCACGGATTCACACATGAATCCTATTGGAAACACATTTATATGATATTTATATGGCACCAGTCACTAGTAGTAGATCATAATATAAGATCTATAGTTCCACGCTCTTTTTGTTGTGACATGTTGTGACCACGAATTAGCAGGATCCAAAGTAAGATCATCACAGTTTCATCACTATTCTTTCGAATGTCCGGCCTTCTGGATCTTCTCCTTCCTTTCCTTGGCCCGGTCCCAGTCAGGATCACAGACCTCATTGGCACAAACGAGGCGGTGACCGGCAATGGCAAGCGCCGCAATCGCCAAGCCAGGGATGGTGAACATGAGTCTGAAAATGTCTGAAATGGAAACAACAAAAACATCTACTGTAACTTGTTACTAGTAGCTTCTATAGCTACTAATAGCGATGGCCTCCACCCTAGTAGCGATGGCCTCCACCCTAGTAGCGATGGCCTCCAACCTAGTAGCGAAGGCCTCCAACCTAATAGCGATGGCCTCCACCTATAGTAGCTTCTCATTACTAGTAGCTTGGGTTGTCGAGCCCAAATCACCCCAATTTTTGAACTTCCTTCAGATATGCAGGGACTTTGCTGGAGTCCTTTCATCTGACATCAATTCCTGGCAGCGACTCAATCTTTGGCTGCCAGAACAACCACAACTCTACCTGTGTTTCTAGACTCTAGACACTGCAGTATGCGCATGCGCACAGAATCCTACTACATTGATGTCCTGGATAGGATACAACCGGTGTCCGTCCACCTTGGTGGCCAAGTCTACCACCTCTGAGTTGCCTGTTCCCAACGAACAGCGGAGGCGCCAGGGCAAGGTCAATCACACGCAAGGCATGCTCGTAGGTGTCAGCAGTCTCGCCCAGTTCCAGGTAGGCCGCAGCCAGGTTCGAGTAGAGCCTTTTCGGGTCACGGTCACCGTGTTGGCTCAAAAGTGGGTTTCTGCATCTGGGGAAGTCGTGGATTTCAGGGTGAAAGTGGTGAGGAGTAACGATCAGCTGGCTGAGTACAGGCAGTCTGGCAGACTGCGTCAAAGATGAAGAAACATGACGTTGAAAAGTACTACAAGCACCAGGCTACAGTTGCCCACATGCGCAAACTCCCTCACTTGCTGGCCTACGTGGATCTGGCAACAAAACATGCTTGCATTTGCTTCGAGAGATGACTGATGACACACAGTGATACAGGCCTCCATCATGCCCCAGAAAAAATAAACATCCAAACCCTCTAGCAAATTCATCAGTAACTCCTTTTCTGTGCAAAATGCAGCAATCGGAAAGCCAAAGCGGCTTCCACAGAGATCCACCCCTCTAGGTGTTTCGGTTTGGGTGAGTTGCTTTTTGGATCCGGATCACACATCCGACCGAACACACAAGACGACATGCATGTGGACGAGTTGGGTCTGGTGCTAAATATATAAGGTGTTCTCTCACCGTTCTCGATTTGAGATCGGGAACAGAAGGTGACATTCCCTCACATGCACCGCCTGATGCCAACATAGACGGCATACAAACACACGCAAAAACACTTGAACCCCCCTGGAAAGGACATATGTTAATGTATAAATGGCATAAACCATCATAAACATTCATAAACCATATACCATCATATACCTATTTCAGGCTCCATGTCTCCATGTCTGTGGCCCAAACGCTCCATTTTTACACTCTGCCCCCAAGCCAAGGCGGGTGACGCAACGCTCGTCCCTCAACACCGGTTCTTCGTCCCTCAACGCCGAGTTCCCCGCGTCCCAGTTCGCCTGGAGGAGATATGGTTCATCTGTGAAGAACGCTCTTCCACGCTTTGGCTCCGTGCCAGTGACAAACAGTCGAGGCCTTGCACATAACCTCGACGCCACGACCAGGGGACCCAGAACACGGGTCCGCGGGTCGGACCGATCGGAAGCACCGCTGAGGGGTGATGAGCAACAAATATAAACAGCTTTGTGTAATTAGAGGATCACAAATTCAAGAAACAACTCAAAGACTCTCAAAGACTGGCTGCAAATACCTTGCTTTGACGCCGTGAACATTTGTGATGTCTCCTACTGTTTTCCTCCTAGAAAGGGGCCGTCTCCCAGACGGCATGGAGATCAATTCTCTGCAGGGAACTGAACATGCCTGTTAAACTCACCAAGATGAGGTGTAGTTTTTTGATCGAATCTTTATTTATGCCAAGGATTTCAAGTATGCAGAATGTTTGGTGCAGTCCTTTGTGACCCAAAAGATGGTCTTGACATTCCTTGCCCCGTTCGGTGTCGGTTTCGTGTGAACCCGCACGACACACGTCTGCCACGGTAAATCCTCAAGAACTCGTCAAGCGTCCATGTTCAGTTGTGGTTCCAAGTGGTATCGCGTATCTGAAGAACATTAAAGAGCTACTTATAACACCACACAACAACATGACTCCAGCTCCTGGTAGAAGGGAAACAAATTGTATCAACAAAATTGAATACTTTGTCCAAACATGTCCAAACCAATCTGTGTCGGAACTCGTTGGTCTCAGCACCCTTGCACAAGGGCACAACAAAGGTCCAGGATGTTCCGCTCCAAGTTACAAGCCACAGACTTCCAAAGGGCAGCCACTCGTGGACTCGAGCTCAGCTTCTCGCGGGCGTCGCGGCACTTTGCGAGGTTGGAGTAGTAGCCTGCAGCTGTCACACTGCACCCGCGGCCGAGATGTCCGAAGTCGTTCGTTACGTTTCGTCCCAAAATGCCTGTTCGACTCTCGCAGCTTCACCCTTTTGGATCGTTTCACATCGCAGGGTGACGTGGCCCATGTGGCCCACGTATGCAAATGGAGGATCATTCTCTTCCAGCGGTACCTAAACAAGCAAGCCACACGGCTTCAGGAACCCAAAACGGTAAAGACCATTAAGGACCTGTACACAGGGCGCCCGGTGCGATTCGGCTGTGTGAACCTGGTGCCAGCTGGCAAACAAAAGAAGCGGGCCACAAGAGAAAGGGAGACCAGCAGCATCCAGCAACTAAGATTTAGCTCAAAACATCCATAAAGACCTAAAAGCAAAGGCAGCTACTCCGTTTGGTGGACAAACAATTTGGCAAAATCCTCAGGCCATTGGACACGTTGTTGAAACATCTTCAGTGCAAAACGTCAACAAGTTTGAGCGGATGTGGACAATGGCAACGAACATAAGAGCAACCACCACTACAACCGCCACCACTCGCAGGAAGATTCCAACAACAAAAGGCCTAGCAGCTTAGCAAGAATGAGACAAGCGAGAACATTCACAAGCACCAAAGCTTAGCGACAGCACAGAACCACAGAACCTCAGAAACAACCTGCACACACAAATAAGAAAACATGTGAGCATTAATGAATCCTCCATAATCCTGCAAACCACAGTGTTCACAAAGTGCCGGCTGCCGGACTGTGTCGGCCAAGCCACTGTTGCCTGCTTGTTTCAGTTGCTCCGCTTTTTCCACCAGCCACTCGCAGGACTTCCGCGCCTCGGAGGCAGACGGAGCAGTGAGAAGACTAGGCCAGGCGTGTTCGAGGCATCCAGGTGTGCCAGATGTTGCAGGCATCCAGGCGTGCCAAGAAAACCCACTTGCTGCCACTTAGCTGTTTGTTTTGAGTGAAAGGCAACTTGAATCAGGCAGCCAATCAACTTGGAATGGGTCCATCTCCTACAGACCGGAATAATTTACATGGAAAGCAAACATGGATCCGGTGGCAGACTAGTGCTACTCGGGCTTCTTGGCTGTTGGTAGATGTACTATGCAGGATCCATTTCCACTACATACTCCAACTACATACTCCAAACTAGCCTCAAGTGGAAAACCTCTACTTGAATGAACATCTGCCACTTCAGAATCTTGCCTGCTTTTGGGTCATCAAGGGGGGGCTTTTGCGCACTCATCGTGGTACCGGTTCATCTACCCCCCCCGGCGGCCCAGGTGTTGTGGCCCCGGACCGATCCCTCCAAGCGACGGAGCTCCCAGTCTTGCGGAAGGCGACGGTGAACATGCGCCCATCGGGGTCGTCGGAGAAGTCCACGGGCTCCTGGCGCTCGAGGAGCTCCAAGTCCAGCTGCGCCTGGAGACGAGCAAGCGGTAGTGGGGAGGGAAGGCGGTAGTGGGTGGTTTCAGAGGTTTGATGGCGCAAATGTCCAAGGTTGGTGGTTGACTACTTTTAGGCACCTGATATACAAAAGACATCTTTCGGCTTGTGCCATCTATTCTGAAACCACTGTAAACTTTTGAGTTGGTGGTGAAAGGGGAGGGCTTTCAAGAGGTGAAAGGGGGGCTGTATCGCGAGCGAGATTCGGGTGTCAAAGGAAGTCAGTTCTGAGATCTAGGGCTGGGGGTTGATTGGAAGAACTACTTGAGGTGAGGTGATTGGTGGGGATATTTTGGGGTGTGGCTGATTTGGAGGTTCCAACTACCTCAAGAAATCCTTGGATTCGAACATATGCAACTTGGGTGATTGTCCTCCAAGGACTATGGTGCGGTGCGTAAATAGTAAAGATTTCTGAGGTTAACGGTTAACACACGACTTCTTGAGCACCACTTCTTGGCTGGTCCTTGGTTAAGTGGACAGCCCGCCCTCGTCACGAGAGCAAAAGGATGGGAAGGAGGTCCCCAAAAGCAGGCCGAGGTGGACGTCGACATGTAACTTACAGCCCAGGCGAGGCCTGAGTGGATCAAGACACATCAAAACACCTCGAAACTGAACAGGGAGGTTTGAGTGTCGGGAGGTGACCAGCCAGAGGACCTAGACCAGCGTTGAATGAGAAACACATGTGGCACGTGAGCAGGCTCACACACTCCCACCTCCATGAGACTGGAATAAATATACGCCAACATTGATCCTATAGAAACCACCCCAACTGAGATACCCCAAGCCCACCCCAACTTGAGTCAAACTGAGCATACATGAAGTGTCAGGGAGGTGCTTACATAGAGCTTTCTGCTCAATCAGGAACACCCTCATGGGATCCACCCAAACGAGCAAAGCGTGAAACCACTGGGGGGCCGTGCTGAGTATTCACAGTCACATCATGTCCCAAAGTCACAGCTGCTTCTCCAGGCTGAAAACCTAAGGATGGAAGCACCTAGTACCAGAGCTGCAACACCTCGTAAGCCTCAAATTTGCGTAGGTCTCAATTGAGGGCTAATGGGTACCCCCTAGATGCCAGAAGGGGGGCGTTTTGGTTTCGGGAAAGAACATGTCGTATATCATGTAATTTACAAGTCTCCATCCGTAACCTGAGGAACTGAAGCACTTTATATCTAGACATGAATGGGAATCTCCGTGATTGGCCAAGTGGGGGGGGAACTGGCCAACTGGATCAATTAAAGCAGAGATTCCAGCGACACGATGTGACTGGGGGATGCTTGAGCAAAAATGATTGATCGAGGACTACTATGACGTAACCTGCGTACTGCTAAGTAACTACTACATTTGCTGAGCGCCGGCTGACACTCCCTCTCACTTCATGACCGGCGCACAGTAATGTCCAACACGACAGGTATCAATGGATAGCAATCGACTAAAGACCAAATGGTATCGATCATGAAAGGCCTTCTTGATCTGCTGTGTCATCTTCTCAACATTGGCAAAGTCCCCCCACTTCTCCTCATTGCGCATGTACCACAAGCGACCAATTTGCAAATCAGCTGTAAGCAGTGATCCGTCATTTGCATTGCTTCTACATAGTCCAACAAAAGGCACTGGCTTGCAATATGTTAACAACATATGACAACGTCACACCACTCTTGCTTTGGATTGCTCCAGTTGGTAAACCCATCAGGTCCATATTACGTGAACCTATCAGTCTTCTTCCCAGGCTGCGAGGTCAACGAAGAACCTTCGTGAGGCCGCGAGGCCGGCCTATTTTTTCTCAACAATCCACGTGACAGTATCTGGTACTTAGCCATTACAGTTGTACATCCTGTAATACTTAATGTAATACTATCCCATATATAAGACAAATTGAGACTATATGAGCATCTATAGTGTACCTTTTTGGTAGCCGCACTCTCCCTGTTTGAACTTACTCAAGCTGTTCTACGTTCCAGTCGTGTTGCAACCACTCATTACCAGTACCAAAACATGTCCACGGCTCAGAAGGACAGCCGAAGGCCCCTTTGGGGGGTCGGTCATGCATCGACCCGAACTGCCAGACCGGACCCCAAAGGGGGGTCGCATCGACCGCGCTCCCGAACGGTGCAGTGTGGTGCTTGACATGAAGAATGAACACCAAGTCTCGGTGTCGTACATCAACAAAATGCCGCCCTCTTCCAAGAGCTGTGCAGCACCCTGCAAGACGTCCGTCCAAATCAAGGGCTCTCGGTATCCCACCTGGGCAGCGTCGATTCGCCATTGGCGTCCAACACGGATTTTTCGACAAGGTTCTGAAATGAACTTGTTGAACTGTTGGATGAGCACACCTCTTTCAATGATACCATGCCAGGATGCAACAGCAGGAATTACAACAGAGGAGTCTTAAACCTTGCAGCGGGCCAAGCCTTCTCGCGGGTGCTTGTTGAAGCATGGTCCATGGTGTGTGAATCTTACTGTCCCCATCCATCCCTATTCCATCCCTATTCCATCCCTATTCCCATCTGTCAGAAGGTGACCCCAACCCGACCCACGGTGGACGATCTGGACTCCACTCTTCAACCCGATCTGTTTGACCTGAAAAAACGGATATGATACACCTCGTCATGTTGGCCATGCGGGAAGGCTGGCACACGCATTCGGATCTTCACACAACGATCAAATGATCAGGAACTCTTAACACATGGACAAATGTTCCTTGTCTTCGAAGCTCTTCTTTCATTGTTCTAGAACTCTTAACATACGCATCTACTATGTTTAGACTGCTGGATCTCTATAGTTGATGTGTGTACGCGTGTATGAGTATGATTCTCTGTGTGCGGCAAAGTCTGCGAGCCTTGAACACAATGGAAGAACATACATCAAATGGTTGAATCCACTCTTGGTTTCCTTTGTTCTGTGCCAGTAAACGGTTTTGCTGAACATCATCATTGTGCTGCGCGCATGTAGGTCGCTGGCACATGGAAAGCATTGGATTCGATGGAATTGAGGTGACCTGGAACACAGGTCCTGCCCTTCGATCAAGTCTGAGAGCTCATTCACTGACCCCATTCGGGTTGACCTCTTTGGGTTCCACAAAGAAGGTTGACCTTCCTCCCAGCGTTTTGCTCGAGAAACCTCTCCTGTCAGGTTGGTGAGCCATTGGGTAGGGATCTATAGCCATTGGGTATGGTGCCACCGACCACACCCCAATGGATTCAAGTATAATAGCTAATAACGCAGAATAACGCAATATAATAACCACATAGTCTGGGTATGTCTGGGTATATCCCATTGCCAGCAAGAGTGGATGGTTAGTAAAGGCCTTTCTCGAAAGGTTTCTGTTGCCGACTGTTACTGCTAATGAGATACACCCTACACGTAGTCCTCCCAAAGTGTTCCTGTTCTCGTTGAAATGGCTTTCAACCCCTTTTTTTCTCACGTGGGGCACACCGCGTGTGCCCGAGCAGCCACGCCACCTGCGTGAGCAAAGAGGTGCAAAGCACTACGGAGCAAAAGCCTTGCAAATGCTCCACGCTGGGCCACATCTCCTCAGGATCTTGCCAGGGAGAGTCTTGCCGCCAACTTCAGCTTAGTTCCCTCCGCTAAGGAACAGAGTACGGTATCAGAAGTTCCATGAATTTCCATGGACATTGGGATCAAACTGCACCGTGTTCTGCTTGCACCCGTGTTCTCCTTCTTGCCCAACACTTCTTACCTCTTCTCCTTCTTTACATGTCTTTACCAAGCAGAACAAATGGCAGAAAAGGACTCAACCGACTCAACCAACAGACATAATGTAGACTCAGATATTACAGCCCAATGGTGCAAACAGCCACACGTCAACCCTGAGGCGACGTCGGCGGCCTCCGTGACGTCCACGCAGCTGGTGCGGCCCCGCAAGAGCTTGGCCGATTGCCGGGAGTCTTCCGTGTCCAAGGAACAAAGCCAGGCCTGGCCGATGTTGCACAACTCCAAGAATGTAAAACAATCCCTATACTATGAGTCAATGACCTAATTTGACTGAACGTGGTCACATAAAAGCACTATCACTACTTAAGGATGTAAAAGACCAGGTTTTACTGGGTCTTATGGACTTGTAGGGAATGGTTGTTTGGCAAGCCCTAGCCTTCAAACACCCTGAAAACAAGGGTGGGCCAGGAAACAGCGATACTCCACGCTGGGCCAATGATGGAACCATACTCCACCCTGTTCCTGATGATCAAGGGGCAAAGGTCGTGCAAATTATCCGGGTTCTTTGGAACAAACACATGGAACAAAGAAAGGGAGACCATGGCCACAAAGCCCAGGTTCTTCGGTCCCTTGCTTCTTCGGGTCGCCGACAGGAGGGGAGGTCGGATCGCAAAGCGACGTGGCCAGCGCCTCCATCTCATCTTCGCTGGTTTTGTCCTCCTCATCCTCAGGTGGATCGCCCTCCATCTCCAACAGGTCTGAACTTCCCTCGAGTGGCGGTGGGCAACAAAAAATGATGGCCGAAGCTGGGACAAGAGTTCACCGGCTTCAGTGGGTTGTTTGGTTCACCAAGTCTGGAAAATAGCAAAGATATGCATATATAAACAACATGTATCGTATATCATCAAACGACATCAAAAGACTATTGTGCAACTCTTGACATGTGATACACCAATACTCTCACAAATATGACCTGGCATTGCTTTAGCGTCCAGCAGTGGACTCCTTGTACTTCTGTCAGATCTTTCAGAACTGCCAAAATTCTTGGGTGTGTCACGCTTGTTCTAAGCCCCCGAAGACTGCACCCCCCAATCAGCTCTTCAGCTGTTGAGACATCAAAACTTGAGCACATTCACAGATCCCAAGAGATTCTAGTGTCACACCATGTGAACAATAAAACATCAGATACTTTTTGCTGGGTTACTGTCACCCTGCCGAAACGGGGGCACACGGATGCCGCTTCCGGGCACCAGATCCGATGCCGACGGGGGGGGGGCACGAGCCGGCGCGAACGCGACAGTTCGCGGGTGGACCCCCCGAGAAACCCTCCGTCGGCTTCTCAGACTGAACCTGAGAGTGGGGAAGACTCGTCCGAGTCTTTCGTGGACATGGACTGCATGATCTCATTGGGACCATTGCGCAGCGCAGCTGGATCAAGGAGAATGACCGGAGAAAGCATCAAAATGGAGAGACCCCCGAATTTCAAGGCAGAAACTCAAGGGGGATCCCAAATGGAAAAACACTCATATATTATGGCTGTGGGTCAAACTCATATGGCTGTGGGTCAATCTCAGGATACCTTGTTTGACCTACCTGGAAGGTCTTTCGCTATAAGGTGGACCAGGCTCCAGGTGTTCACCCATCCCCATATAACGATACAACAAAAATAGATGAACCAGTGAAGGCACCTAAAGGCTGAGCCCGCGACACGTACAACATGCTCCAAAACCGTGAGAAGGCTAGCATTCTCAACTCCGGCCCACTTGTTCCAAAGCAAAAAGGATCAAGGTCCGGCCCAGGTCTGCTGCTTGTGCCCTTTTCTTATCCTGTTCTTCCATATGTATTCATGTTCTCTCCTCTTTGCGCCCCAACATGGCTCTGTACCGAACCACCCGTTCCAGGACGTCCCATCTCGACCGACACGACACGCGGACACGCATCCATCGGGTCGACAGCCAGGAACGAACGGTCGACCTACATGGAAACTGGAGACCTGCAAGGATTTCTATGGCTTCCTCCACCCCAAAAATGGTGGTCTTCCGGTTTTCAGGCTCCATGTGGGTCTCTTCCAAGGCGTTGGAACATCCAAGTGTGTGGAGGTTGAGCCAACTTGGATGTCCCTGCCGGTACACACTCACACGAAGCACCACCCAAAAAACGAGAATCAAGCAACCCCAAGATAACGGACAGCACAACACAATCAACAAATATATATATATAGATCCTTTTGTACGACCCAAAAAAATTGGAGGCCAAACGACGGCATATTATGTTGACTATTTGCTTCCTTTTTGATTCCTAATTAGGACCTCGATATACTTGGTGTCGCATCGGGCATCACTCCCCGGCCTTGGCCTCGGTCTTGGGTCTCTTCAGCTTTGGTTCCTCCGCCTCTTTGGGCGCCGTGGTCATATACTCGATGCAGTCCTCCATCATCTTCGTCCCCAAGTAGTCAGCAGGGTCAGCCATATGCTCTGAGGCATACCTGTGTGAACACAGCGCTTCCAAGAAGGGGTGTCCAATGGATATACATACTGTATATTATATATATATATGCATAGTAAGTGGTGCAGGGTTGTCCATTATATAGTGACCCCTAGGACGCTGCTGGAAGATCATCAACATCAACAGGTGCAATTCTGAAGCTCAAAGGGCACAATGTCTATTAAAAGGACATCGACATTCCGGAACACAAACACCAACAACACATCAAAGCCCTGTGAGTTGGAAGGTCCTGGTGGTGGCCCCCTTCCGTCTGAATTCACCAATGTCACACGTCTTTCTTTCCCCAGACACTCCTGTGGTGGACGCAGGAGTGATGCGTACACAGCAGGGCCGGTGACGGACTCATTCAAACAACACCCAAAGACTACAACTGCATGTATGGCATATCATATATTACACATATGAGCAGCGGACAAAATTACTTGTGTAGCGCAATACCATTTGACATGATTATCGTTTTTGGTGGGGTCCATATCGTTCTCCAATGTTTCTCCAAACCGTAGTTAGCATAGCATACCAGCACATAGGCTAAAACAAAAAATATGACTCACAACCTCAGATTAGAGGCTTACAGTGCTTTCTGCACAGGAATGGCACAGCACTTGATTTATGCACTCGGACCAACACTAGTAATGTGGAGAAGTAGGTCTACGGAGTGCCTGGCGTGACATTTAGGTTATCGTTCGCTTATCGTTTGGACTATCGTTTGGGAAGTTGTCTGGGATTATCATTGATGAAAAGAGGTGCCCATCGGTTTAGCTCAAATATGCTCAAATAAACTTGCAAATGCAATCGCATCTGGTAACCACAAACATCTTTGTACCCACTACATCTTAACAAGATTATCGTTTTTGGTGGGGACCATATCGTTTTCCACAGAAACAAAGCCCTCAACATAGGTTTAGGGTCATGCCGTGACTAAATAAGTCAGCCAATAATTTTGTCCGTCGCTCATATATATATATATATACACGATGCCGATGTGTTCCTGCAGGGGGACTTGCCAGGCGTTTTATAGGGATCTACCCTGGCACTTATATGTATGTATATATATACAGTATATATATATATAATGGCGGCCCGTACGAAAGTTTGTGAAAGCAAATACCTGATGTGTTTCTTGTTTTGATTGATACATTCATAAACGCTCTCTGATTGCTTACCAACAGTGACAACACATCTCCGAAAACCGAACACCTTCTTGTTTTCTAGTACAAAATCAAGACCTAACCCCTCCGTCTTGAGGGATGCATAAAACGTTTTCTGCCCCATTTGATAGAGGAACCCTGCATGGCCATATACCGATCATGCCTACTCTTTATCAACATCTTAAAACCATCCGAAAGTTGGGCAACAATTCCAGTCGCATGGAGTGTTTGGGGTATATCTAGGGCAGAATCTTCTGGTGCACAACAAGCTGAGGGGTGAAGCATGCTGAAGCATATTCACCTCTATTCCACACACTATGGAGAAATGAACTGTGATTGAATCCAACTGTATACTTGCCTAGTAAGTCCAGGTCGGAAAACAACAAAAAACAACTGACAAGCCTCCATGTAGTCGAACCCCCATGCTATTTGAGGTCTCCACGGCCATCCACAGCCGTCACGGCCATCCAAGAACACTCGTATCCACCAAATCACGTTCCGCATAGAGGATCAACCCACTCAGGAGCACGTTCCCTCCAAGGTGCCAACGGACCTTGGGCATGAACATAGTAAATCGACTTGGGTAAAAGCCATTGGCTGAAGCCAAATCCTCAGCGACAGAGGCACGCTCTCCCGCTCTAGCCGGTGGGTACCATCCGAGGTTTCAGGTCAAATCCGTGTGCAGGTTATGGGGATGTCTTATAGGTTCAGTGGTCCTCACATTGGTCTATCCATGTTTGATAGGTCAAGGAGGTTGCTGAGTGTATCGCTTCGCCTTCCAGGGGCTGAGTAGTATGATGATGTATGATGTACGCACTCAATTCTCAGATGTCCCTCAGGCTGTGATCAAACGGACCTGCACGGACCTGCCCATGTGAATGTCTGCTGGGTTCTGCCGCCGTGGATGGGGGGTGTCCGAAGATTCCGCTGGCTGCTTTGGGACGTTCCCCGAGATTACAGTGAACTTCAGGGTAGATGGCAGGTGTGCAATCAAAAAGAGAGGTGAGGAACAAGACATGGTCTCCGCCGAAAAGTTTTTTTTCCTCCAGGGAAGACATATAAATATAAATCTATATGAATACCGACCAGGACAGAGTCGTGCGATGTTCTCCGCGGCCCAGGTGCTAAGCCGAAGTAAAGGTGTTGATCTTCACCTTTGCAGTCTTTAAACATGCAGCCGTGCTTGCCTCGGCAAAAAGAATCACACTCGCAAACCATCGAGGTGTTTCGCTCGTTTTGGGGCAATCGACCCAAAAAAGCAAGCCTTTTTCGGCCCAAATCTCATCGATACGCCATCCAGTTGCTGTCAGCTGGACCTTTGGGGCTTTGTTTGTCCTCCGGCTGCAGCCAGGGGCAATACCTCGGTGACCGGCTACGAAGGACGAAGGACTCGCGACCGCCCGTCTCGTGGTGGGGCGATTTCGGGACTTCGAAGCTTCGAAGCCAAAGCGAAAGGCCTCCATAAAGGAGGCTTGTCTACATGACCGTAGTCCATGGGGATGAGCTGTTCACCGTTTCTCGTCTGCTACTTTAAGGAATCCAAAGCAACTCTCTCTTCTAACCATTCAACGAGGCTGGCACATGCAGCTGAACGTGCATCTCTGTTTCAGCTTCCCTCAGGTCCCTCTGAATGAGTCTTCCTTCAAAAGTAACCAAGTCCTCCCTAAATGGTGGTGCTCTCTGACGTCAGCATGTGGTCCTCGCTGTAGGATACGTGAAAAACACCCTCCGGTCCATCGAGACGTGGTCCATCCTCCAAGTGGTCAAGCAAGAAGCTCCGACAAAACTTAGCATCTCTGTCCAACAGCTCCAGTTCCCATGTCTAACACATGTCAAAACTGACAGGTGCTCTTGATTGTCCCTCAAAATGAGACCGGACCAGGGTGAAGTCGGGTGAAGTCGAAGGACACTGAGTTCACTGGTGATGATCCGATCCTTTCGAGGCCACCGTGTCCGTCTTCGGTGTCCGTCTTCGGTGTCGCTTTCACCAGGTTGCTTCAGGATGTAATCCACATACATGATCGCACGGCCACAGCCGCGGGCCAGCGTCTGGGTCTTCTCCAAACTGCCAGCAGCTCCTGCGAGCATGTCTATGAAGCTTGGTGAGTGAACCAACAGTCGGGTATCAGAGAATAATAGGGTGTATGATGTGTTTAACACATTATAGTTACTGTCATGATCTGTCATGTACTGTCTGAACTCTGAACCTTGTATAGTGACCCGCGAGTTGATAGAACGGTGAGGGGCCCCACTGAAGCAAATCGGATTTGATCCTTGGAACCGAATTAAACTCATCGTGTTTTGCTTCCGACCTCCCACATTAGGTCCCTTTGTGCTGTGTCTGTTTGTGAAAAGACTTGCCTGTTTGATTGTGTGCACTCCGCTGCCATTTGTGTGATTTGTTTAAAGGTTCCTTTTAGCTGTAAGTAAGTGAGTAGGACCAGTGCCATTCCCACTGTGCCTCTGCAAAAAGCACTCCGAACAGAATCCATTCACCCGACTTCCTTCTGAGTGTCTTCACACTTCAAAAGCACAGCTCTAATTAGGTAGAACTTCTCTCCTAATGTCTTCCCGGCCCCAACCATTTGCATCCGGGCCGCCTGAAGCGCCAATCTTCATCATCTTCACAAACATCTCCATCCCCTGAGGCGTCGCCAGATCTGCTAAGACTTCCTGCCGCATTCGCGCAGAAGTGTAACGCGTCCAAGTGCCCAGATGTTTGCAGCTTCTGGAGCTTGCTGAGCTGCTTCAGCCATGAGGGTCCAAGCACCAAATCTGATCAAATCTTGGAGGCTTAGAGCATCTCACATCTACACCAAATGACCAAATGAAGTGTCACGTTATGCTTCAACTAGGATCTCGGAGGATAGTCCTCCAACCAGTATGTCCTCCTCGGACCTCCATCTGGCCATGTTCATTCCATGTCCCATCCTCCCGTGTCCCCTACCGAACGACCCATCAACCAACCTCCCTCCATCTTTTGGGCTCACTTCGTTCGCGGCGCTTCTTCCATCACCTCGCGCCAGAACCGCACATCCCACAGCGACCGGAACGTTCCGCCTCTTCGGTCTTGCCATCCTTCTGACACATGACCTGCGCAGGCGTTCAAGACATGACCTTGCTATCAGTTGCCATCGGAATGCCCTCGGTCCAACTGCTCGGGGCCATCAGTCCAACTGACCGGGGTCAGGTCACATGGAGATCATGGTGTGCGAACTGTTTGGGCCGTTTGGGCCTATTTTTGGACCGGATCAAAACGGCTGGGCCATGTGAAAACAAGACGCGTAGGACTCCCACTATAGGACGTTGACATTCTATTTGGGCTGGATGTTAGGCTAGGCTTCGGGCATGTTGGCTGCAACAAAGATCGAGAAGAACACAATGCACATCTTGATCTATCAGGATGTGTCTAGTTCACAAAGTAGCAAACACTGTCGGACGTGAACCCTGCTCTGCTGAATTAGGCGTCGACCAATCGAACCATTGCAAAACCATGTAAAACATTGTAAAACAATACCCCAAATGCTATCTACTGAGTTTGTGGGAATTTTGAATCATGCATCATGACCGGAAGGCACAATCTCTAATAAGACTTGATGTTGCACCCATCCGTCCGAAGTGTCAAATCTCTGTGACTCAGTCATGTCCAAAACCGCACTCTTGGATCCCCCGAAACGAACGGTTTCTTGGACGCTGCACAACAGGAGTCCAAAACTAAATGGCGTAATTGATATCTCACCAATGGCTGTCCAGCCAATCCCAAGTCTGCCCCAAAGAACTACAGCTTTCGACATATCTGCAATTACTACCGTATTTACCGTCCTGTTTCGTCGCGGAAGCGTCAAATCGTCAGAACCGCGGGGGTGTTGTTCGAACCTCGGGTTCGGCCCAAACCCCGGCCAAACCGAACCTCAACCAGGTTTTGCAGCACTCGCGCCATTGGATCCGCCATCCGGCTCGATCCGGCCGAATCTGGGCCGAACACCACGGGGAGGAAGACCGCGGTGGAAAACAACAAACTGGCTAAGCTTAAGAAGCTTGGCAACTATAGTTGTTTGTTGGACGGGAATGCTTCCAGTCGGAAAGAAATACGACGGTACAGATCCGTACAGTATTCTTCTGTCATCATATGCCATGCACTGAAACAAACACATCATACAGAATCATACACATGGACCTGGATTATATAGCAAGGACACTAGCCTTCTATTTTACAAACAAGTACACCATTGTGTGATGTAATCTTCTGCAAGCTATGGCTTCTAATGATGCACCAGATCAAGACAGAATCATTAGTTGGAGCCGCTTCTGCGGCTTCTGGCAATTGGCTTGAGCTGCGCAGCTAAAAAGAATTCCGTGCACAAGCTGTCGGTAGGACCAGATCCCCAACGTCCGGTGATCCAAACTCCTTTCGGATGAGCAGCCTCAGTCGAGAACACCACGAAGAACCGATGTTTCACGTGGACGACCATCCTTGGAACCTCCAAACAGTCGTGGCAATGACCTTGGCACATGCGGAATATCCGATCTGGCCATTGGGCGTCCCTGTTGCGAAACGCAGGACAGTCAATCGGGCAGGGAACTGAACGTTTGGTTACACTTTCCTGGAGCAAACATCGGATGGGAACATGTCAGTTTTTCTTCATAGATCGTCATCTGCGAGAAATAGATGTCATATTTTCTTCTTGGGCCCCTCGGCTGAAAGCTCCATTGTCTGTGGCTTCGAGGATTTCTGCGTGTTCTGCAAGGCCTGGATGCTGGAGGAGGAGGAAGTACAGCAGCTGTTCTCTGTACACCAGGGTGAGGAAGTTCTTGCTTCAGATCTGATGTGATGTATTGGATCTCAGCAATGGCGGCAAAAGACCAGGTCTACCCCTTTTCTGGTAAGAGTGGAGGTTTCGAGAGAGTGCACAAACTGGGTATATATATATTATATTGTATTGATTCATTCCTGAGATTCAGCAGGATCTCACCAGGTTAGTTGTCCAAGTCAATTCCGTTGACCGTCATGAACAGAAGCAGCTGGCTGTCGCGGACTCAAACATCAGTCCACTCTCCCAAACTGGTCCACACCTACAAAAAGGATGCTGCAGCTCTCCTGCATGATGGTTGTGTTACTGTGAGGATGCTCAGCCTTCAGCATAAAGAGTTGGTCATCTTAACCAACCCTTCAACTGCGGAACCATGGCAAAGGAAAGCACCTCTTTTTTTCTGGAACACAATGATTTTAAATACAGCTTTCAACTGTTTCCGCCACTTCATGTTTCGATCGGAAACTACGAGTATCATATTCCCAAACAGCTATGTAAAACACTCACTGGTTTGGAAAGTCAATTCCTTTCTTCTGGCCTTCTGCATTTCAGCAAACATCTTCTGGTGCTGCTCCTGCACTGCGCTGGCTTAGCCCTTGTCAAGTAGATAGGACTTGGTCCTAAAACCCCGTGCCAGTGGGTCACAGTCAAAGATCCTTCTAAAGAGAGGAATGGCTATCAAAGCGACACTAAACACAAGTAGCAGCAATCAGTTACAGAAACACACTAGTGACTAGACCTAGTACTTGTCTCAAACAATCAACAAGGATATTCCCATTCATTCCCATTCCACTACATCCAGCGATCGGAGGGCTCCGTCCTTCCTTTCAGCGCACGGAAGGAACGGGGCGGGGGGCGGAAGGGACCAGTCCACCCGGAGCCCGACCAGTCCACCGGTTCCGAGGTCGGTCAGGTCGGTGCACCGGTTCACCCGCAACCATCTGTTGCTCCGGTTGTAGCTTCTTGTTACTAGTAGTAAGGCACTTGTTACTAGTAGCGATGCACTTGTTACTAGTAGCTTCTTGTTTCTACTAGCTTCTTGTTACTAGTATGGCCAGGAGCTACGTTCGTAGCTTCTTGCTCCGTTCGTAGCGATGCCCTTTGCTCCTAGTAGCTTCTAGCTACTAGTAGTAATGCGGAACCATGAGAGGGAAAGTCTGTACCTTCTCAAACCCATATATATATATAATACGTATAGGTTCTTTCTGCAAAAATGAAGCGGGGGAAGAAGACCTGCCAACTGGCCCGCCCTCTGGAAACCAGGAATCTCAAAGGGCACTACGGAGTCGAACATTTTCTGGAAATGGTTCCCACATGTGCCAGGCCGCAAGAAGACACACGTTCTTGAAGAACGACTGTCAATCTGTCCCATCCATACGTCTTGCGCAACATGGAGGTATTATCTAAGGTATCCACGTTCAGAAAGGAAAGCAAAGTGGAACGATCAGTTCTTCCACGGGACTGGACATCGTAAGTAAACAGTTGCCTTTCGGTTTGCTGTAAATCTTCTGTACCCCGAACATCCCAGAACAGCCACCAAACTCAGTTCTTTCATGCATCCCCGCCAAGACTTGTAAAAATATGTTAAAATGGATGAATACTTCAAGAACCCTAAAGTCTACGCTTCTTACTACTCTGTTCCAACATGACAATTGCGGTCTACAGCGGATCGGATTAACACGTCCAGTTTGCGTGGCAGGTACAGCACGGTCAGATTTCCACACCCGTTTAGATTTTTAATATTTATAAGGCTTTCAGGTGTGGAAATCTGACCGCAACTGAGGTGTCGACATGTTGCATGTAGGCTTTCAGGTGTGGAAATCTGACCGCAACTGAGGTGTCGACATGTTGCACGTAGGATTCTAAGGGGAAAGGGTGTGTGATGTTTTAGAAGTCAAGAAGCGCAACTTTTGGCACCCCAGTGTATGGATGGGCTGGTAAGTAGGACATGTCTGTCAGTGAAAATATATTCAACCTACGAAGGGAACAACTGTTAGCGGCTAGCGTTGAGTCAGTCTGGTAAACAAAGAACATCATTGTTCATTACTTTCTTTGTATGATGTCGCTTTAAATATGACCAAAATTACAAAGTTGTAATGAAACCATTCCAAAAATGACCCCGGACAAGAATCATAAATTGGGCCATCTCATTTCCATATGTTTTCATTAACACACGCACACATATGTTGTATTTTGTCATGTGTTTCCATATGATTTGCTAAATCTATGTGCATATGAAATATGTTCGAACAACATGCACATTGATATGACAAATATTGACAATTCAAAACTGGTTGCGTTTTTTTAGTGACACTTGTATGACTTGTTTGACATAGTTTATGAACAACACATGTGACAAGTTGAATATTTACGCAATCATACATTTCAACTACGTAGTTGTTTTCATTAAAGAAACAAACACAAAACATATGAAAACATATCAAAACACGATCTATCTCGAAGTGGTTTGTACCAACTTATACCAACTTGTAGGATCTCAATGTTCGCGCAGGGAGGTCAAGCAGCTTTGTTGGGACTTCATGCCGCAACAACGTTGACACACGGACCGCCCAGTGCACAACCCTCCCCAGCCTGCGTCTGCTGCAGCGTCTTCGCGCACATCGACACGTTGGCCTTTGCTTCTTCACCTCAAAATCCGACCCTTTGGCTGTGGGACAAAACCAAGGGACTTGGTTGACCACCGCACACAGGCTTGCACAACGAGTCTGGCGCCACCCTGGTTGACCCTTCCCTTTCGGGGGTACCGGATGGTACCGGGGCGATTGGAATGTCAGATCATGAAAGTACCAACATGCAACGCTCACACCTGGATCCCTGATATGAAATGTAACAACTTGTTCTTCCCGTGCAGTTGCAAGATGCAAGTCCTGGGTGGTCGTTCGTTCCGTGGTGGTCTCTCTTTGCTTGTTTGGTGGCAGTGAATCGTCTTACTGGCGCAAGCTGCGTTTACGGGCGGGTTGGGTTTGAACCTCTGCAACGTGGCAATCATATGGGCGGCTATTACGACGGCCTGTCCCAAGCCGGACAGGGAGGAAGGTTCCTGTACTTACCACAAAACTTATCGCCAGTTCGTACCAGGTAAATAATCCCCATATCTTGGCTTAAGCACTTTTGTTCCATGGGTATATCTGGCCACTTTAACGATGCAAGACTTGTGTTACCAGATGTGTAACCTGGCTGCCCCAAGTCAACCCTGCTGGGTGAATGGATGGTTGGCGGTTGATAAGTTTTGACAGGTATCTGATATGAGCAAGAAATCAAGCTCCGATGTGTATCACCCCATTCTAGAGCAGTAGAGTCCACACCTGCTCGTTTATCCTGCTTGTCCTGAAGAGTATGAGATGGCGGAGATGCTCAAGATTCAATGCGAGTAAATACTTCAAAGACACACACTTGTCTCGTCCGCTTGGGATTCGGTGCCAATTCTGATGACTTTTGGAACACTGTATTGATCTGGCCTGGAATACAGGTTGCCCATGTTTGCCCTAAGTGTCAACAATAAAAAAATACTTAGCATACACATATTCTGTAGTCAAGAAGGCCCTGAGCGACTTTGTCAGCCAGTCGAACTGCGTATTGAGAATCTGATGTGACCACAATTTGCTTGGCAGGGTTGCTTGGCAAAGGCGGACACTTCTGCTTGATCAATACTTTGGCGTCCCGATTCGCATGTTGTAGCTTAATTACCCGAAACGAGTGCGAATGTTCATGGGGCAAGTGCGAATGTTCAAGTGTTGCGCAACTGCCCAAGCCTGCCTGATGCGCGATGACAGGACGGATGACATGACAGGAGCCGTCTGTGTAAAAGAACAGTGAGTGTTGCGTCGTGTCGATATCTTCGTATGCAAATTATGCTCCTCTCACAGCGTTTACGGTAGTTGATGCACAACCTCTAATGGGCAAGGGAAACCGCAACTTAATTGGTTTTCGCTGCCAAATGTGTATGGCCCGAGGGCGTGCATCACGAATGGGTTTGAAGTTCGGACAATACAACTGGCGGTGTTCGTGTGTATCCAATGCTTGGCAAAAGAAGGACAGTTCAGTGAGGTCCACTGACGACCATTCATTATTGAATAAAATGACCAAGCGTTATCCCATGTTTATCGAATATCTCTAGGTGTATCGTTGGTGAGGTCAAGTTTCATTGCCACTGGCAAAGTGAGCAAGACAAAACACGGCTTATCCTAAAAGTGTAATGGGCCTTCCGTCTGCAATACCCTCGGGAGGAGACCGTTTAGCCAGCAAAATGACCTGATCTTTCATGAGGTCTGGAGAGAGACCTGAGGAGGACCACACTCAGCACGGTTGACCACGGAACATTAATAGAATAAAATAGAAATAAACATGAATAGACTGAATAGACTACCAGGGAGTTCAAGCTACCAGGGTGTGTCAAACCCTGATTTTTGCAACCACCTTTCATCTGATCCAATGACTGGAACTGTCTGTGAGTGGTGACCAAGTTGCGGTTTTGCTGCCGAAGGGGCTTTGCTGCCGAAGCAGTGATAGCAACTCTTCATAGGAGGCCTAATGGAGCGAGCAAACAGGGGATGGCCGGTGAAATTACCACTGCCTGCTGCCACTCTCGGGGAGGTTGTCAGTCAGCAACCCTACATAGGATTAACAAAACGTATCAACACCTACACCTACCACAAACAGGACGCAGCCTCTGCAACTAGGAACCGTCGGAACTATAGCAAATTGCCGGATAGCTGCATTCCAAAGAAATACCGAAGCCTGTGTGTAGCATTCGGAAACTAAGAGACTTTAAGATGTCGATTTCGCTCAGAGTTCTTGGCACCGGCAGGGCGTCCTGGCCCCTTCTCCGCCGAATTCCCCACCGTTCTGGGCACCGCCTTGTTGTCCGGCTCGCCGCCCGTATCCGACTGCTTGGGCAGATCTGACTCCTGGCTGGGGGCAACCGGTGAATGGGGCAACTTCTGAGGGACGAAAGCGGTATTTTACACGTCTTTTTGGAATACGGTACGTCAATGACCCAACCACTTGGCTTTCAGAAGTCTTTGGGGTTCACATCTTGACAAGACTTTTGCGTTACACAGGCGCTCTATGTCATGCATGCAAAGGGGATTTGCTGGGAACAAAATTATGATCATGACTAGGCGCACTAAATTGTGAGCATTCTGGGGCAAAAGTCTGGGGGGATTGATGCTTAAGTGAGATTGAAGCAAATTGAAACAACTTACATATACTGATTATAACTTTATAACAACAAAATGAGCTCAGTACTTTCCTGGCCATTTTTTTGCATGTTCACCTCGCCCATGAATGGAAGAGTTCACATCTGGAAGAGTTCACATCTGCGTCACGTTCGCCCTGGTTTGAGGACGCTTGTTGGTCAAAACATGTCCCAACAAGCAACCAAAAAGAAGAGGTTTGAAGAGACTGACAAACTACCCTGACAGACACCACCCCATGTGGGTTCAGAACATCGCACCACTTATATAAAGGGTAGTAGTGGAATTGGAAAAACGATCTCAAGTGGGACACCTTCACGAGCTTCGCGACTGTCCAAGTCTTCTAGTCTCCTGTTTGGGCTTCTCAGGCGTGTCCTCGGCAGCGTCTCGAACTAGGAACTACACGGTGAACTCGCGATGGTGGCTGGCTTGGCCGGTTCGCACCCGCCAAGCTTGGCGGCTCCTTCTCATTCATGCAAACAAGACCTTCCTTGCCTTGATGAAATCTTTTCATTAAACATGTACACGGAGATGACAGTAGAACCATGTGGAACCGACAACACCAGGTTTCAATCAAAATCCCTCACTCACGCAACTAGCATGGCTCGGTGCAACATGTGCTCTTGACATGACTCGGAGATTCCTCAACACACTTGGATGTTCAACCGTTCCTTGCGCTTGCACATACACCTTCATGCCATCAGGATACACTGTACGCCCAATGAACAGCACATCAAGCACCAAAATGATCCTCAGGAAGATCTTCTACAAACACTTTGTGGTCTTCATTAGGGGTTTTCTCGTCGTTTCGGTGAATCTACACCAGCTTTATACATGTTTATACCATCTGCACTCGTTGCTCGTCTTCAGCCAGAATTCAGTGAAGAACTCCGCAGCCTCTAAGCCATCCTCGGGCCTGGATCATACGGTCCCATTCAGGAGAACCAGTGAAGCCACTACACCAAATCTTAGGACCCTTGGTGCTCTAGTCGGTTTGCATGTGTCCATGGTCGGAGGGGAGGAGGCGCTCCCAAATGTGTAGTGGTTTCGGAGTTTTCATAGCACAAATGTCCAAGGTCGGTTAACGAAGGACCCCAATCTGTCTAAGACCTCTTCGGGTGCCAGTGCCATCGAACCTCTGAAGAAAAGCACCTGATGACTCCACATCGGCCACCTGCACCATTGCCAATGGCCCCAGTGAATGGCCCCAACAACCACTGTATGTTTCAAAATGGGTTCCTTCCGTGGAAGGTTTTGGGAAACACGAAGGATCGTGGATAAGGTGATCCTTCGGAGGAACACTCGGCGGATTGTCGGCTGGCACGCCTTCGGTTGTGCGATGCAACAAGTTCTGGCAGCAACGTCGAAGAACCCTCTTGGACCCTTTCAGGGCCAAGATTTGTATCGGACCCTGCTCATTCTCTGTGGGTTATTCTGTTCCATTTACATTGAACACTATATAATATTACTATATATATATATATGTAGATCACTATGAAGAAGCAAAGCAGTCCACAGGATTGTATGAGGTCCTGCTACACTGGAAAGTAAAAACCAATTGCCTCATGCATACCTTCCCCACTCAGGTTGTACTGTTTGGTGGAAGGTCCCCCAAATGAGGCCCCCCAACCACTTGCTGCTCATCTTCACTTACAGTGCATACTCCTGTGGCTTCCAATCTGTTTGCTGTCACCCCAAGAACAACGACGAAAACAGCCTCAGTCGGAAAGGGTTGGCCAAGTAGGTGCTCACCAGGCCTGGCGCGTAGCTCCATGTATGGGGAAACAAACACATTATATAGTTCTGTTGCTGTACGACGCTGATGGCACAAAACAAAAACATTTTGATCGGGGCTTCACCAGTTACTTTTACACCCTGTTTATTGACAATCCTTGATGCATTGCAATATGTAAAATGGTAACCTGTATATCAGAATAAAGAAACAAACACATTGTTCCATTTCAGTATTGACCGAGTACTACAGTGTTCTGGCCCGCCACTGAATATAGACTCGTATATATATATATATATTATATATATATATATGAGTCAAAGAATCATCAAAAACATGCGGCACCTCGGTTCATCCGCCGAACAAATCCGTCGCCCCCCCCGGACGCTGTCACGCTGCACAGCTCGTTTCATGCCTGCCCCAAGGCCTCCTAACAACCAAGCCTCGGTGCACGGAACGGCGCTCGGAGGGACACCCTCCAACGTCCCTCACCCAAAACGAAGCGCGGCTCGATCGATCGCGGGCCAGGCGTTCTGCCTGGTCAGCTTCGCGTTCTGCGCATCGGTGGCTCGTTACGAACGGCTCGGTCACGTTCGAACGGCTTCAGCTTCCGACCCACCAGGGCCCACCGGTGGATGGAGGTTCCAAGGGCAATGGATAGCCCTGACAGGACGCGTGAGGACATGTCACCGCATGCGTCGAAGGCGAATTCGGGATGCTGAACGGCCTTACACACCAACTGCAGTTATACAAGTTCCCCTGCGTGCAAAAACTATATACATCTATATACCATATATGTTGACTAGAGAATTATGCTGTGGTTTGGGGACAACACCTTGCAACACAAGGCACCAAGGAGTTCTATGGGACCATGGGTGCTTCCATGTGGATGGAACTATCCAAAGGGTGTGGATAAAAAGATGAAAACACATGACACCAAACCCAAGTGGCTCAAGCACACCAAAATGGCTCAATCAATCAACAGTCCTATGATCCCTGTGCCTGGTACATCATTGGCGGGACGGGTGGAACAGGGCCGTATGGAGCCTGAGCACGAGCCCAACATCCAAGCCAACCACTCGCACGTCTCGCAAGTTCAACCTGTCTCGCATGTCTCTTGCTGCCACAATGATCCATGTGCCAAACTGCTGAGACCTGCCGCCACATCGCCAAGAAGCAGGAGCTTGCTGGTAGGGGTTGCTGGGATAAGGCGGCGCCTCCGCGGAGATTTCACGGAGATCGCGGAGCGTGGAGGTCGCACATCTGAAGACGTGGCCAAGTGGCACTTCTCGATATCGATATGCAAAGCGGTTGGACCGAAGAAAAAACATAAACAAAAAAGAAACAAAACATAACAAAACAAACATCCACAATGTTCCGCATCATCTCTCACCTCGACCTCTGACCCACCTGAGAGTCTGACCTGATACCCAGGGCCGCTGGGATAGGAGGGGGTGACCTCAGACTCTCACCCGTTGCGAGCGCAGGCAGTTGCAATGTCGAAAGTGAGCAGGTCCTGTTGGTTTCAATTGAACAGGGTTTCCAAGTTCAACCACCAGTTACGTCTCAATTCATCCAACGGTTGGGGAGTTTCTTGGAATCACAACAGTGCCTCCCATGCCCTCCCTCAGTACACCCAGCCCGAAAGTGTAGGACACTGTAATGTAGACTCTTGATTCATCTTGATTCTATTTCAAGCCCCCATATGAAAAGGTTATATATATACACAATTATACATATGGTTTTACAAGTACAATCCATGTGTCTGGCGATTCGAACTGCAAAAACCGAGCCCACGGCAGGGCTGGGCCGCGACGGCGGCATCGGTCGCACCGGTGGCTGCGGCGTCTGCGGCGGCTGCGGCATGGCCGGAGCACCCGGCATGGCCGCGCCTGCGCCGGGCAGGGCCTGGGAGGAGTCGGAGGAGCGACCCGTTCGTTTGGGAAGAGAATGTATTATACCCTGGGGATCCAGTCGTACCTTCGTTTCGAATGTGGGACTGGGGTGGGTGCCAGGAGGGTCCAGGTTTTTTTTCTGAGCAGGTACTTGGACCCCCACAGATAGTAAATCACAATACTGCCAAAATACCCAGGCTTTTTTTGGAGATGAGGACCTCTCAAACAATCCCACCTTTGGATTGACGATTAGAGTGAGATAGGGTTATATACGTAAGAGAAAGTGCTGCAGGATGAACTGTGTACAAGTTCCGGCATGTTCCGGCTTGAGCGGCTTGAACTGTCTGGTCATGCCAGCTGGCAGCCCAGCTTGCTTGTGTAACGGCCAGTCTCACACCCGCAAAGAATAAGGCCAGCCACAAAGTCGGTCTGGGTTACACAAGAACAGTGCTTGCTGAGTGGTGACATTTACAGAAGAGATTTTCAGCCGCACACCAGGCACATGAACGAAAGAAAGCAATAAAACAGGTCTGCAAGTGAAATAAAACCTTGACCACTCCGGTCCAAATCCGTTTCATTTCCCCTCCTGCCGCCAAGGGAGTTGTCCCGCCAACCTCTATACCGGTCTTCTCGTTGTTTCCACTCACGGTCACGGTCCGAGTCCTTGTAGACGTGAACTTGAAGGAAACACAAGTCCATGACACCTGAGTTTGACCTCAGGAGCCTGGTTCACAACACAAGAAAAACTCCATATTGGCGCTCCCAACAGTTTGTTTGAGTTCTGCTTCCTCAAAATAACATCACTCTGTGAGGCTTGGTGTTTGCGCTGTTGCAGTGTGAACGTTGACATTTTTAATTGATCGAGTTGATGAGCCAGCACAACGGCCGCCCACACCCGGTCGCCTGCGAGGAAGATCCGGGGCGGCCTGACGGAGGGCATGAACAAATTCAACAGAAACTGATGAGAGATGGTGAGCGAAAATAGAACCAACCTGGAAAGCCACAAACTCCCACTGATTCTCCCAGAAACTGATTTGAACCAACCCTCCCCACCATGAGGCTTTCCGTTCATCCTACCGTTCTCAAGAGACCCTCACCACGGCGGCACCCATCCCAAACACCTGCGAGGTTGGCTCCAGCCTTTGGACTCCTCGATGCGTCGATACGCCTCCCAAGCGACAAGCGACGATGCGTCGAGGCAAGCCTTGTGTGAACGCCTCATATGCGTCGATACAGCCTCTATGAGCACCCCAAAACGAAAGCAACACGCATACAGTGGTTTCAGAGGTTCCATGGCACTGGCACCCCAAGATGTCCTGAAAGTATGGGGGTCCATATTTCAGCACGCAACTTGGGGATTGTGCCATCTAGTGCCATACTCATTGGCGCCGAAGATCTACGAAGCTGTCCCAATGGGGAAGTCCGGTACCAGATCGCTGTGGCGGTCCTGGTGACGGGTGTAGTTTTTATTACCCTTTTTTCGTCGTTCGAACAGAGAGACTTCCGATCCCTTCCTCTGCTGGGTGGACAGCCATGACTTCCATAAAGCACGTTCTTGCCCTTTGGTTCCTGTTCCATATCCACAAAGAAGGGACAGAACCCCCTGGCACGAGCCTCTTGCCCTGTACGCCGAAGCACGGAATTTGGATGAATTTTGTATACCTCGGGGAGCGAGGTAGTTGGAGCCTCAAATCGGTTGATTCATTGAGCAGCTGAGTGTTTCCAGCCCCTATCTGATCCGCCCCTCTACCTCTTGGATCTGCTCCTGGGAGAGGCCCTTGTCCACCTGGACGGCGAGAGAAGCCCTGGAGGCCCAGGTTCCCCAAGAACCACCTCCCAATGACAGCAGCGACAGACGCCACTTTTGGGAGAACTAGGATGGTTCCACTTGATGATTTGGCCACCATCAGGCAGTCACTGTAAAATATCATACAGAGAAACCATTCGAAGAATGCCGTATCCCGTCGTGTCGGGGGGTGTTTGCTTCCTTCCTCTGACGTCGGTGGTGTGGGGAAGAAACGACCTGCTTTGGCCATGGGACCGGTCCAAGATGGCATGTCCGTCTCCATTCCTCACTATCCATAAGCAACTGTCCCCACAACAGACCAACTCCCCCAATTAAACCGCCTTCAAGCACCCAAAAAAGAACACACGAGCACCAAACCCCCCGCTCCGACACCGCAGGGCACCAGAAACTGCTCCTTCTCCTGCGTGGATCTGCCCTGAGCCACGTGGCCGACGTGGCCGACGTGCCCAGATGGAGACCACAAATGAGTCTCCATGAGAGTGGTCTCCATGTACATTCCCAAACACTCCATGTGTGTGTGCCATATATGATATATGCCGATCAATTGACCCCCAAAACCACCACCACCCCAACTGATCGGCAGTCCTATGGCAGTCCCATGGAGTGTCTGGGAGTTCGGGTCCTGAAAACCTCGCCTTCGCGTTCTTGGACGATGTGGCGTTCGAGTCGCAGAAGTGAGCGAAGCGTGAGCGAAGCAGGGTTGGATGGATTCCCCGTTGGATGGATCGAGGAAGCCCAAAGCCCAAAGACTTCATTTGCGCTCCGAGTCACGAACATGGAAATGAACAAATGGCCACTGGGAAGACCATATTCCTCTACAAATAGGTGGTTAGCGAGTCAGAGGGTATGCCCTATGGATCCACTGACAGCCTGAAGTTGATTGGAGACACATTGGCAGTCAGGGTCCACTCCTTACCTTCTGAGAAGGTACAAGTATGTGGATCTGTGGGGATGGAATATAGAATGGGGTGGGCCATCAGCGGCCAATGCAGGCATCATATATTCCATAAATGGGCGGTCCGGTAGCCTGACCCAGGGAGGGCTACTACTCGACCCTTTGGTCCAAATCTCTTTCAATGGTCGTTCCCACTCTGGTCAGTTCCTTGCAACTAGAGCTTGGTGTGAAGAGCCAAGTGTACGCTCCGGTTGGAAGGCCAAGAGCTCGCGGTTTCGGAGTCCAATGGGTGTGGTCCAATTCAGTGAAAAACGGCCCCCAATCTCAGCACCAGACTGTGGCGCCACTCAGGAAGGCCACAGCCTTGGCAATCAGCTCCTGGCGAAGGCGCTGCTCCAAAAGTTGCCACGAAGGAAGGACAGAAGTTCTTTGGTTCTTTTGCTGGATCTGCAAGGAAGCTGGAACAAATGACAATATTGTCTGCCTCGTCCAATGACATGACAAAACATGAAGATCTCGAGTGAAACCAACGAAGGGTGCGTCGGCCGAGAACAAACACAACCAAAGCTGGATGGGCGCACAGATTCTTTCCGAGGATTCGTAATCCGAGACCATTTCGCGCAACAATCAATCTTGGGCCACTTTGACTTGAGGTTTTTTCGCCACGTGTCGCCTAAAGCTTCAGCTTCCTTCAAGTAGCACCTGGTGAAACAACATGGTGTTCATTCTTTTGCTCTCCCTCACGCTTCCGAAGGAAGCGGCAACATAGGTGGAGAAGAACCCATCTTCCTCAAAGTACCAAAGGCCACAGGACCCCCTGGGCAGCTCACAAGGTCCCACCTGCCTCAGCATTGTCTGCCTGCGGTGGGGTCGCCGCATCCGTGCAAGGAGTCGCTCCAGCGCAGGAGCAAAGAAATGAAACAACGCTGAAGAGCACCAACAAGGATGTGGCATTCACACCTGAGGGTTCCATGTAATCCATGGGCTCGGTTCTGCAGCGCAAGGAATATTCTGAATGTTGGTGTCAAGCAAGTACTCTTGTGGAATTACAGGGTGAAAACTGCTACCCGCTACGCTCCTGCCGACAAGCCACAAAAACACGATGCTTCCAAGAAACCACATGGGTATATTTATATATGTATGGGTTTTCCAGCAAATCTTTGGCCGTTGAACACCTGCGAGTACAGCTGCAGGTCGCTGCAAGTGGTCGTTCCCCATTTTGGTCGATCACATCGTGGGAGGAACCAAGCGATCGCGAGTGTGAGACGCAGAAAAATCAACGATCCAAGCACCAGTCAGGGGCAAACATGGGCAAAGCCACCCAATGAAGATTGCACATATCCTACAATATGTCATCATGTCTTGTATATATAGTTATAAGTAAACATGTTAGAGTTATATAAACATCTCTCCCAGACCTTGGAAAAATAATGCTTTTTGCAAGGGGCAAGTCCCATATTCCATCCGGACACTTCCGAGATCTGGGTCCAATTTCTGGAGTCTGACGGCCAGTGGAAGAAATCGCTACCTACGCGGCCCGAAGCTGTTCAGTCACTTCCAGAAGCTCTTGCATGAGATTCGCCAGATCTTCCTAACATCGAGCCGATCCCAAGATCAACAAGACAAAAGCAGTAATTAGTGTCAGTGCCGGTATGCTTACTATGCAAAAACGGCATGATGTAGGATTGAGCCGAAACTGTTGTCAAGAAGCATTCTACCATGGAGTTTTTCTCTCCACAAAACGAGAGCAACGGATTTCCTCCATACAGTTGTGGCAGCCCAAAGGCTGCGATTTGATCCATCCCTGAGGGATTGGGCAATGAGGACTCCCTCATTCTCGAGTGTACACAGGTTCAATATGCCCAGCAACGCTGCTTTTCATGAAGTCCGGGTTGTTCTGGAGCTGGTACTCATTCATGGAGATCGCCTTGCAAACGGCCGCAACGAATATAGTCAGGAATGCAGGGGGGGAGACAGAGTAGCCAGGACTGGGAGAACTAGGAAGGGACATGAAAACCGCCAGCTAGTGTACCATATGATATTCATGTGTATTTTGTGCATTAAGCTCCATATACTCTCAGGCTCTAGTGATGAGTCGATGCTCGCATACTCTTCGTAAGTACTCAGAAATCAGTAATTACTCTAAAGCCTCGCTTTGAATGGAGGACCATTAAGCGACCGTGCCATGTGACTTGCCACCCAAACCATCTACAAAAGATCGATCCAGCAATTAACATCAACACGATGCACCAGGAGTTCCCAACATCAACATCTGTTTTATGCCCAACCTTGAGCAAGTGAAAACTCTTGAGCGGGTTCCCCTGTCCTTCATCAACCACTTCAGTTTTGTCTTCGTAATATTTATAACCTATAACAAGTTTGGGGGCCTCTCTGCGCCATGAATCATGCGACAGTCTCAAAGTCATTTTCTTCATCCTTGGCTCCCCCAGAGGTGTTCCCGCCTACTCCCCCCCAGGCGCCCCAGGTGGCCTGGAAAAGAACCAAAGAAACCACACACGGACAGGTGAGGACACTTGAACGGAGATCTGAAGACAAATCCTCCAAGTATCCAACATCTTCGAGACCAAGGAACCCAACATTTGATTTAAAAAAATATCAAAAATCATGTAAAACACTATAAAACATGTAATCAGTATATATATAATATAATATAAATATTTTTTTTTTTTAAACTCACATTAGAGCCTATGTAGCCGCTATACAGCTATATATAGACATACAATATATACGTGTTTAGAAGAAACATCGTACTGACATGGGTTTCTTCACCGGTGGCGGCCTCTTCGACATCCTCGGGATGGATCTGCAAGGCCGACACTTCGAGGTAGCTCAGGAGCTCGGCCGTCGCTTCCAGAAGCTGCCAATACGCGAAAAACGGAGACGGTTGGAACACGGAGCTTGGTTGGTGGAAAGGAATGGAACGGTTGGAGCTTGGTGGTTTGGATGTAAACAAGAACATGATCTTTAACAGAAAAGGAGTGAAAAGGACGTATGAAGCCACGGAAACAAAAAAGAAAAACATACCCCCAATTATGCGTCCCTCACTCCATGTTACGAAGAACTCAAACGGTTTTGGAGCTCAATATCAGGTTGGAAAGACAGACCCACCAACCCGAAACCCTAAACACCTTTTTTATAGGACCCACAATTCGTCGAAACATCGGATTCTTTGGTTTCAACTCTGTGGCACCACAACCCGACCAAACCCGAACCAGGCTCCGCTAAGGCTCGGGTTCCCAAGGATCGAAGGAACCGAGGTTTACACCCCGGAACGGCGGAGCAGTGATGAGGTGAAAAACATCCGGCATCAACCATCATCAACCTCTCCCAGACCATCCATGGGACTGGAAATAACTATACCCTTACCTTCAAAAGACCAAAGTAACTTTGGCGCTGGATGTGTGTATAGGTTAACAATGGCGCTTCCGTAGTCTCACGAAAAACGAGCTTCTCACGGTCTCAACTCAAGTTTGACTAACAAGTGCAATGCTCACTTTTCACCGCAAAGCTCTCTTGTTGGCCGAAGTGTTCAATTTCCTAGCACGCCATTTCAACGTGAGAAGTCGAAGACGAGCAGATCTCATGAGCGTATCCTCAATCTTCTTGCGCTGAGTCGTTCTAGATGCTATAAGTTTACACCAGCCAACAGCATCCTCATCTACAAACGTGTGCTGGAAGCGCGGATTCAATCCTGAACAACACAGGGCTCAAAAAACATCAACAACACAGTTGGACCCCATGGAGACGTCACAAGAGCACAAGTACAGCAAAATTGTAATCACCACAACCAAGAAACTGTACGTTCTGGTTTCCACCAAGCATTCTTCGAAAGCCTTACTTAACTGTGGGCAAAAAAAACACATAATGACCAAACAACAAAACAGTCAATCCAACATGCAGAGAAAAACAACCCAACTAGCAAACCACAATAAAGCAATCCAGTAACGTGAAATTTTGGCCGGACTTGCCAGGCAATGCAATTGAGCCTGAACAAGAAACATAAACCAGTTAATTGATACAACTCATCTACCTTCAAGTCAACTCCACGGGCCTTACATTCAGTTGTGCCAGGATGATATGGCAGTGCAGAAACTGCATTCCAGCTGAGTAAATCTCTGAGGCCTGCTGTTCAGTCCTGAAATTCACAGGCATCCACATGCCAAAGTGGCTGCACACACCAAACCTTCTACTCTTAAGTTGCACTTTCTGCAGGATTCAAAAACTCATACTAGTTACTAGTGACTAGTGATTGAACCAATTTTGACAAAGGCACAAGCACCGCTGTGCACGCTCAACCAGGCAGAAGTAGCGCGCGAATCCATTCCTTGTAGCACTAGCAAGGAGCACAAGCAAGAATAACATAGCAAATTTAACAACATATCGCTCAAACAAGTATCATGGCGACAGCTGTAGGCACCAATCTCGGGTCAGCTGGCAGTGAACCACCAGACTCTTGAATCCATCTTCCAAGGATTCGGTGCTGCGGCCAAACTCCAGAGGTAGCCACTTCCGCACAGTGCGCTAGCCACTGCACCAGAACGCGTGCATTGTGAGCTTTTGAGGTGAGATATGCACCGTTTGATTTTTTAATCAAATGGTGCAATTTGAACCTTCTTTGAGAACACACAATCCGTGGCCGATGCGATTTGCACCACTGCCTGAAATCATCGAAGGCATCATTGAGACGCGCTTTTAAATCGCTAGCGGGGTCGCCAAAGCACCCCAGCATCAACAACAAGTAGAGCGTCCCACCATTCGCTGTGTGTGCTAATCCAAGATTGCAAATGTGCATGGTGCACATCTTGATGCATTCGATGTGAAAACCACGGACAATGGCCAGTGGACCTGGATGCTCACTTGCGCTGAAACAATCAAACAACTATGCAGGTCTACTGACCTTCAAAAATCATGCTACACTGGAGTGTCTTGAACCCCATGCATTCACACACTAAATTTGGATGAGGCACACAATAGATCATCGGGGAGACCTTCTGCTATGAATGTTACGGTGTTGATGTGGGTTTGCCTCCAAGCTGCAGAATCTCCATGTTCAAAATACAGGGGGCCGTCTCGACTACAAGCTGAACACTTCCAGCAGATCTCACGCGCACGCCACCATCGGTGCATGCGCCAGATGAAGCGGTGCCAAGCCAAGTCACCACGAATCTCTGACACAACAAAGCGTTTCCCCACCACAACATCACATCCTGATCCATCAACACCAGCATAGGCAAAATTGAGGGACTCAACAATTCTCTGAAGGACAGGATGCAAGCTCTCGTAGCCCACAAGCTGATGCGAATCACACGCGAAAAGTCTTGCGTTTTTTGGCCTCCAAAGGGGTAGGTCCAAAAATATGCAGGTCAATTTATCAGGAGCTGTCCTGTCAGCACCATAGCTAGCCTCGTCACCATGGAGGCCAACAGGAATGAACCGCAACAAGGACGCTTCAGAATTCATAGCCCAAGGATGCTGGACTTCTCGCAGGTGTGACCAGTACTTGTCTATCACCCGAGGATCAATGTGGAGCTCAGTCTGTGTAAACAAATACTGCAAAATCTTGTGCGGGAGAAGGAGAGGAAGTGTCCTTGTCACCTGTGTACCGTCAAGCTTCTCATGATTCACAGAGATGGTTACCATGTCTGGTTCCTGAATGGATGGCAAAGAACGATTCAAAAAATGCGCATCTTAGGAAACATAGCATTGCACTTGTTGGTTTCAACTTGAACTATGCGTGCGCCTTACCATGTGCAACCCCAAGTGGTTTAATAAAAAAACTATTAAACATGAATCACCCAGAATCCAGTGGAAGCGCGGTTCGTTTAAAGAAATCACGGGAACAGTTCTTCCCGATCTTGTATGCTGCCAATGACCGAGTCCAGCTGGATGCCGAACCTTTGGCTTCCTCCGCTCGCGAAGCAGAGATTGGTTGCACATGTTTGCAGGTTGTGCAACATCAGAAACTGGAAAGCAAAACTAAGCAAAACGGCAATCATGATTCCAAATCAAACAAACATAATGCTTCAGCTTGATGTTTTCCACCACACAAAAATATGGTATTTAAAGAAACTTAGTTGACTAATATTGTTGATTTCAAAGCTTGCAAAATCTTGCAAACTTGATTTGACTGCCTGTCCTTCACCATGCTGCGGGCAGCAGTCATGACTGACTCCACTGTGTGGGCCTAAAGGAAGTGTCGATGGGTTGAGACAAGGTTTGGAGTCTAAACATTGACACATTCTGGTGAATTAATGGGTGTTCTTTGAGTTCGAAACCCCATCAGCAAGCTTCTCGATTTGGTTCTGGATGAAGTCGGTGTTCTCGGGGTCAGCACCTGCATGGAATAGCAACATGAGCACCCAGCTCATAGTGCACCAACCAGTAAAGGTTGGTGGAGGATCACGATGTGTGATTACAAGACTTTGAACGCTTGGAGTTCGTGCAGTCATTGATCCAAACGATACACGAACATTTTTCTTGGACATTCCATCACGCTCATGACCACGCACAGTACGGCTCACCTTGTTGGTTTTGCCACCCCATTTCACTGATCGGCCACCCCCTACCAGAGACCAGGCTAGTTGAAAAACACAACACATATGTTAGTTATTTTGCTACACTCGACTTTGCAGTAGTTAGTTCTGCATGGGTGTGACCAGTGCTCCCCTGGCAACAACTTGGTGCAAAGCCGGGTTCTAGGTGCACACAAAAAGATTGGTTTATGCCCTGAGGCGGAACCATCAAATGGATCTGCAAGAACCTCTTTCAGGCCTTGCTCTCAGCCTGTTCAGTCTTTGCTTTCTTTACACGCTTGCAAGGCTCCAGAGCTTTGTCTAGATCTGCCATGACACGCTTCAATTGGGTAGTGTTCTCATCCAGCGCATCAGCCTTCCAAGAAATCAATATGATTTGTTTTGAGCCTTTGAACTATTGTAAGCAAAACAGGGTGGCAGTTCAGGGTGATTAAGATTGAATGAACTAGGAACTAGTTGTTTTGTGATTGTTTAAAGCTGCCTTGTTCTGCTCCAGGCTGTTTTCAAGCGTGCGACGGGCATCCTTCACAGCATCGCTCTTGGCAGTGATGTCGTTCTCAATCGCGGTTTTGTAGTTCTGAGCCCTTGGCCAGCCAAGGGAATGAAAACAATTGGATCCAGTTCAACATACCTGTACCTCCACACACACGCATGTATAGCATACTCGATTACTACATTTGGTGAAGGTTTCCTTGGTTATCATACAGTAGCACAAATAAGGTGCGAACATGTCTGAAATCTTGGCGAGCAATCCTGGAATTGACTGCAACTTTGTTGCAGCGGTTTTGGTTGCCTGGACCAAGCCACATTGTGTTACATACAAAGAGCATCTACACAAATTCCAATTCATTTCAAACCTGGCCTTGTTTGCATCAGCCTTGCGCTGTTTTGCTGCATGTTTTGCTTTCTCTTCTTCGGTCTCTTCCTTCTTCTGGTTCTTGTTCTTCTTTTGCTTCTTCTTTTTGGTCTTCTTGGATTTCTTCTTGTCTGTCTTCGTTTTGTTCTTCTTGTTCTTTTTGTCTTTCTTTTCTCCACCCTTGGCAGCAGGTTCCTCGTTCGTTTCACTCTTCTTTGAGTCCTTCTTGGACTTCTTGGCCTAGCCATGCATGGTCATCACAACACACACAGAGAGTTGCGGGCAAACCTGCACTTGCAGCTACAGAAGAAAACAACACACAACATGAGCCACCTGAACAGTGGATGATGAAGAGTTCGAGGAATCACTGTCGCTCTCTGACTCATCGCTCGACCCACCCTCGCATGCAGCATGCATTTGTTTGATGACTTCCTCTGCTTCCTCAGTTTCGGTGGCGTCGTCAAGCAC